AGGTTCAATGAGAGTCAATAAATTGATTATAGCCGTTTTTGGAAATCTATATCGTGCTAAAACCATATCATCTGTCATTGTTTCCAATGGATTTTGCCTATCTCTGAATACTCGTTCTCTTTTGAATGCTCTTGCTGCTAAAATCGTTGCTATTGCCATTTTATTTTTCCTTTTTTAAAGACTTTTACAAGGAAATAACGTTTTTCAGTTAGGTAAGATCAATTTTTGACTTAAGTCATACATAGGGTACCTATTCGGTCTCCTAAGTTAAGCAAAATATTAAGTCTGACTTAAGTCGAAAATCGTACTTAAGTTTTTTGATGAAACGCGATTTTTTATCTTTTTTGACTTAAGTTTTACTTAAGTTAGACTTAAGTTTTTTGATGAAACTAGCCCCTGGCTCCTAGACTGAAGTCAAGCGAATAAGACATTATTATGCAAAAATAATCATTTTTTAACTCACAAAACCAGATGTCCGCCTGCTTTATAAAAAAATACCTACCGTGTGCAGGTGGGGTACCTTATCAGTTTTTCAAAGAGTACATTGCCGTTCAGAGAAAATGATGGATTTTGAACGTCATGAGGTAAGTTTGAGTCACAAGCTGTCCTCTACAAATCTACTTAAGTTTCAGGTCTTCATCTTAAACCGTTCCCGGATGAGATCGATGTTAGGATTGCTATTTCTTTCCGTCTGGAAGCTTCCAAAACACATGGACCTTTGGTTATCGCCCCTGGTGAATCTCGTGACAATGCCCGTTTTCCTGAAAAAATTCAAAAACCTAGTGAAAATCTATATTAGGTAAAATAACCCATTTCTGCCTATTTTCACGTAAAATTTGAAAATTCATATCTTGGCTTTATCGACAGCCAAGGTTGATAAAGTCCACAAAGAGTGTCTAGACATTCTATCTACACATCGGTATATATCTGACATTTGTCTTTTTATACGGAAGATGACAAAAGTTCAACCAGAATAAAGTCAGACAAAGAAAAGATACACAGGGTTTTCGAAAAATCTACTAGTGATCCCCTGCAAATATTTTTCAACCTTCACCAACTAGTCAGTCTTGTTCAGGTTTTCGAGCTCTATCGAGTGCACCAGTTCAAAATTTAAATTAATTGCTTGAATCAAGCGAAAAAATAAAACTAAAGTAAAAATTTTGCAAAGGTTATTTAGAAAAAATGAATTTTTTCAGCAATGGAGAAGAATTTTAAAACAAGGGCTATATACTATTGTTGCCCGTGAAAAGGTGAATCGAATGTGGTATAAAATAAATATTTTTTTCTAACTAAATATTTTTTTCAATTGAACGATTTTTCGAAATTTAAAGCCCTTCTAGTATTTTCAAAATTTATCCTTCAAAACTCATGTTTGACAAGCTAAAATCTAGTTATTAAGTTGATCAGCTCGACGAACTCTATCAAATGATGTATAAATAAGATGAGAAAAAAAAATAGTGCTTGAAATTCGAATTATGCACCCCTTCACTAACGTAAGTGTCTAAATTCAAGAGAAAAATGTGGATATTGTTAGACCTGTGTCCCGTAGCTGCTAGGTGTAGCATATGTAGTTTGTTGGCAGAGCACATTAATGGTTCGATTCAATGGTCAACGAGGCACATGTCTTGCTTGCTTACAGAACTAAAGGAAGAGAAAAACATTGAACTGACATTTTAAAACCATTTATTAACAATGGCAGCTAACTCTATTTTCTGCTATCTCCAAATCAATCTTCTTAGCAAAGCGTGTCTCACATTTCTTTCTTTAACGTATACCTTCATGAGAGAGATACAGAAAGAGAAAGTCTGTTTCTCTTTTATTTTTGCACAAGGTATGTATGTCTATGAGAACGAAGAAGATTTCAATCTCCTCCTATTTAAGAAAGTTAAAGGCAGAAACATTATTAAAATTTTAAAAACTTTTTATTACTTCTGCTTTCCTTTCCCAAACTATTCTGCTGGCGTATGTTCTCCAAGTGATTAACATCTGAAAAAAACCGTTATTACTAGAATAGCTGAGATTGAATTTGTTCTGAGTACACGCTAAAAAAATGGTTTATACAGAATATAAAAAAGGATTCCGAATTTTACAACCATTTATAAACTGTTTTAAGGCTTGGCACAGAACGGGTTTTGTACGAATCATCTAAATTTTTCCGTTCAGAAAAGGCTCCGTACAGAGGATGTCGTACCGATCGCTTAAAGGTTTCGTATCGACCGTTACGTTTAACTTTTCTCGATCGTTAGCTAAAAACTAGAAAAATGTACTTTCTATTTGATGACGAAACAGACATCATCATAATGATGATAAGGAGTGTCTACAAGCTATGTTTCCACGTGGATTTTCCACTGTTGCATGTCACAGGAAGAAAGTAAGAGGCACTCCGGAAAACGAATAGCATCGAGTCCCTATATACGCTGTAGGTCTCGGATCTGCGTCAGTTTGTAATAAAGTGATGGGAATATCCCTTGTAAGTGTTTCATCTAAATATTTACATTGTCTTCTATTTTTTGATTGACGTTTATGGAACACTTCCGGAAAACCACGTCGGATCTGGGCCAGAAACGGGGGGGAGGGGGTGGCATATGAGTGCATCTCATTTGGGTACGCTTCCATTTTAGTGCGTCTCATTTGAGCGCATTCTCATTTTAGTATGTCTTAGTTTAGTGCGTCTTATTTGGGTGCGTTTTCGATTATACAACTCATTCTTCAAAATATTTTGAAACATTTGAATTGTTTCCGTCACCACTGTTTGAGATTAATTGTCAATGGTTACTTATCTTTTATTTTAACATCAAAAACTTGTGAGCATTATTTTGACAATGCAGTTTTATTTTTAAGAAATGCTGTTAAGCACGTTTAGCAGCAGCACAACACCTTCAAATTGCTTGAACAAAATCTAACGGTTGAGTTAGACCTAGATTAAAATTATCCGTTATACGTAGTACTATTCTGTTCAGTTTTTGATATTTTAAATTATTCCGACCTTTATATGTTCCGGCACGTAAACGTTCAATATCATGTTGAACTAAGACGTATTGTGCTTGAAGTGTTTCAGTCAATCCCCATACAATCGGTTGTGTTTGTAGTAGACGTTACAACTTAGAATGCCATGATTCAATATCATTATTTGTTCGTCTATCTTGACCATAAACATTCCATACTTGAATAGCATACTGTCCATTTAACCACGTGTTTGTAAAATAATGATAAAATGGTTGCATTTTATGTCGTATACGTAATGGTGTCGAATCAACTACTTCATCATAGGTCGATTGTGCTAAATGTGTTGGTAGAAATGGGATTCCTGATATCATACGAACTATTTCAGAAAACATACTATTGAAGAGTAATCAAGCGAGAGGAAAAATAATGTAGCTTACAATATTTTCGAACAGCTTCATCATCCACATACTCTTGTTGAAAACCGAGATTTTGAAGATTACGATATAAGGACTGATTGAAATGGAAATTACATCCTGTTATCTCCGATAATGGAAACTCGTCTTGAATCGATGGCACTAGGCCAGTTTCAAAATCGAGAACTATTTTATCGGGTACAAATAACATCATTAACGCGAATGCTTTATCTTTCAGACAACATAATAATTTTGAGTATTTTTTTCGATTTTTTGTTAAAAAGACAAACGCCAATGGTAATATTTTATTATGGAATAGACCGAAAAATGAGAATAATTGTGTAAAAAGAGGTGTTTCACCTGACTATGATGTTGGTGCAACTTTAAAGTTGCCATCAACATGGACTTCTGTAGCATTAAACAACAAACGAAGTCCGTGTTCTGTCGCGAGTACCACATATACGGAACAGGAAATGAAAGCGTTTAAGAATAAGAAATCGAAAGGTTTTCTCTTACCTGAACTTAGAATTTGTAAGAAATTTTTCCTGTACACAATTTTCCATATTTATCCGGAATACAAAGATTTCGCAACGATGTTGGTGTCGGTGGTTCATTTCTATTTCCTTTATGTCGATATAATATAGACCTAAGACTTTCAAAACTGGGCATTGCAGCTGCTATTTGTGGATCAATGACAACTTGACTAGATGCTTAAAAAGCAGCGTATGGAAGTTGATGCTCACATCGTTTTCTCATATCAACAACAACTTTTTCAACAGCAAGTTTTTCTGGATCTGGACCGCGCGAATGTGGAGTTCCTTTAAGAAGACAAGCGTTTTATAATTTAAGCTTCATTTCATTATAATAAGAGTTACTTACTCAAATCTTGTTTTGTATAATCTTTAAGACTGTTAAGACGACGACCAGGACAACCATATTCCCAACATTTCCATGAGTCGATTCTTTTTGATGGCGTTCAATTCTATAACTATATCCTTCAAATTGAGCTGCTAGTTTACCACAAGCTGTTTCGGATATTTTAACTTTAGCCATATTTCTTGACTTAGAAAACAACAGATCATACGATATACAAAGAAACGGTGACTGCTATACGAGTTCTATTGAATGCAAATTAAAAGAAACGTTTTTCGATTACAGATACATGTGTCGTATTTGAATTCCAAACAAAAGGAGAGTAAACACACATCTACGTTCACATATTCTCTAAACGGTTACGCATTGTGAAAGTCAACATGCAGGTTAATTTGACTCAGACACTTTCAAAATCTATCAATTTGAAAAATGCACTTACATAGCCATAGCAGTCAGTCATCGTCTCATCTTACATCGTATGATCTTCTGTTTTCTAAGTCAAGAAATATGGCTAAGATTGAACTATCCGAAACAGGCCGTGGTAAACCAGCAGTTCAGTTTGAAGGATATAGCTATAGACGTGAACGCCATCGAAGAGAATTGATCTCGTGGAAACGTCAAGGATCTAGTTGTCCTGGTCGTCTTAACACTCTTAAAGATTATATAAAACAAGATTTGAGTAAGTAATTCTTTTTATAATGAAAAGAAGCTTAAACCTATAAAACGCACCTCTTAAAGGGATCCACATTCGCACGGCCGAGATCCAAGATGAAAAAGGAAGGAACCACCGCCACCAGCATCGTTACGAAAACTTGTATTCCGGATAAATATGAAAAATTGTGTACAATTGAAAAAAGACAAATTTTCTCCTGAAAGTTTCTTACAAGTTCAAAGTTCGAGTAACAGAGAACCTTTCCATATCAACCAGGCCTTATAACATAATCTTCTAAATATCGGTCTGCAGCAAGAGTATGTGGATGATGCTGTTCAAAAACACTGTAAGCTACGCTATTTCTCCTTTTACTATATGATCTAATTAATTATTATCTAAGTAATAATAATTTTGTTACCGTTACCGGCTTACGGTAAAAACTTAAAACTTTTACCGCGGTAAACTTTGGTAAAAAATCCTTTACCGTTACCGCTCATGTCTAGAAACTAGAGAAAAATGTCAACATGAGCAAATAATTTTTGTGCTCACAAAAAGAAGTCTTTCGTTATCAGTACTAAAAAACCTACAAACGCTGATTCGTAAACTTTGCAACCGTATAATTCCTAATACACAGCGTTTTGAAAAAAACAGGTATCATTTTTCGGAAAACAGAATATACGTGCACCATTTGAACTTACGTCGGTTAATACTGTTTCTTCCATCTAACCATATCGCACTCGAAAGAAACTTGAGATAACTTATATTCCTCGCGAACTCATTTACAAACAACTCAAAAAAAAAATTTGTCTGGCGACGAAAATAGCTCCTAGTTGACACGCCCAAACACTTGCTGGGAGTGCCAATAGCTCCTTGTTGACGGTCCTGGGAGTGCCAATAGCCATTCCGAAAAAATAAACATCAACGATCTCGAGATGGTAAAAGTGGCTGATGTCGATAAATGTGGTTATGCCGCGATACAACAGCCATGTGGAAATGAAAATATTAGTCAGTGCCCGCATTATTCCAAATATTTTTGTCCGATTCATATTGCACATCATAGAGACGTGGTTTTCGCTGAGTTACGCCAACTGGAACTTTTGGTGCTCGAAAGCGAAAGGAATTGATCCGATTTTTTATATACTAGAGGAACGTAGTCAAGTAAAGTTGCATACAGTACAGTTTTTCTTCTCCCAGTGATGATTAATTTTAACAGTGCTCTTTCTAACAATTTTGCAAATGCTGTTTCTAACATTTCTCGTTCTTTTAGTTGTTAAGCCTTGCATTGACTATAAAGTTGGAAACACGAGGTGATCAGATACAAATGCAATATGAACGATTATTAGTCATAGCCATTTACATCTTTTATTTGTATGCAATGCATTACTATAGGCTACAAGTAACGCGGTATATTGTCTTTCCACTGTGCTGTTCTGGATTCACATTTCTGATTTTATACTTAAGTTATGGAAATAGCTTAAACATTTTATGGTTAGCTATGGAAACAGCGTGCTGAGACCAAATATTCGATGCATATTCAATACCGTTTATTTCTACAACGATCACAAAATACTTACATGTTTTATCAGTTATAATAATTACTTGTTGGCTTGTATAACAGAAACCCTTGATGAACGTACAGATCCGGCAAATATTTTCTGAATAGAATAACCTTTATTTCATTGTATTAAGACTTTTGTCTTGTATGTTCTCGTTTACTTTGTGACATTATATCAATATTAATTTGAAATCTTTGAGGTTTTGATATGACGTAAAGAAGAAACAGCTTGCTATTTTTAAGAGTTTTGCTTATGGGTTGTCCCATTTTACTGTATGTGTTTTCTAGGCGCTTAAACTAAGTTTTCAAGCGTGATAAAGAATATTTCTGTGAATATTTTGTTGTTGTTGTATAAATATTAAATAAATATTAAAGATTTGATTAACTGGTAGATACTTTGATTTCGTGTTTTATTAAAACAACTTTAAAAATATTTAACACATATATACGACAAACCAAACGTCTCGACTTCTTTTAAATTGAGGTCTTCTTTGGTGAACTTAATAAATTATGTATAAAAATATATAAAAATACAGATATAGTTAAATTCTGTTACATATAAAGTGTGTAGACATGAGCATGGTCAATAGAATTAATACTAGCAATAGTAGAAAATTTAAAAATAATGACTTATGGAGTAGTTTAGAAGAAATTTTAAAGAACAGTTGCTATCCAAAAAGAATAAGGACAAAAACTTTTCAAAAAGCAAGTAAGAAAATTACTAAAAAGGAGAAGGGAGAAAGTAAAATAGTTATCCCTCATCGATATTTGTTAACAGAAAAATTAAGAACATATTTGGCTTTAATCGTTCAATATTTTTAATCTCCAGCAATTCCGATAAAGTCATTTTCTAAACGTATTTTTCATGGTTGGCGACCTGATGATATATTCAGCTCAACATTTAGATACAAAAATAAAGATTCAAAAAGACTGGTCTGGATCTGACTTTTATGGCTGTTTCGTGTTAAAAAAAGGAAAGACGTATACTCTCAAAAAAGCTTAAAGATGTTTTGACTATGATTCATTATTCTTCAGTAGAAATAGAAAAGAAAAATAAACCGTGGTGCGTGTACAGCGAGACACTTAAACTTAAAAAATAACAATTAATAAAAAATTAATCCTTAAAAAATGATGAGAATAATTGCATAATCATTAACTTGAAAGCATAGGTTTTTTATGTGGGTTGTTTGAAGATGTGGAAGCTTATATATATCGTTCTTGTTTTTGAGTAAATCTATTAATGTATATATATTAATAGATTTATTCTAAAACAAGAACAATATTTTTAACCAGATCCGAAATGCCAACCGCCTCATGAAAGTGGCTCTTTTCCCCCTACTCTATTAAAATACATGGAGTTTTAATTAATAATTGACTGCTAAGTAAGCTCTAGAGATAATTAGTTAATAAATACCTCATTTTGTTGCCCAGATCTTCCTTTTTCTACCGTACGATTTGAGATCATTATCGTTTAAACTGATTAAGCTAATTAAGACACAATCAACTGCACTCGAGATTGTCTTTTTTTCTTTTTATGCACTGGAGAAAAAAGAGACACTCGTGTAATTTGTGTGGGAGGAAAAGAGACATCACTCCATTGAAATACACCGGATTTCTCAGAGACAAACCTTCCAAACAGCGTAAAGCATTAAGCAGAAAATCGGACCCATGTGCAAAGATTCTGAAATTTTTTCTACAAACTACTGTAATGGCGACCTTTCTATGTGCAAAGTTTCAGACCGAAATTCGAAAATTTGACTTTCCGACTCGAATATTCATTTTAGTCAGTATCAACATACGGCCGAACTTTGTTTGTTGCGCTAGTGTTTAAGACGATTGCACCTCTACTTCTTTGCTGTACTCACTAGAACGTGTAGCATTCTCTATACATGAAACTTCGATATCTCATGAACCAAGCCGCATCAGCCTAAATCCAGTGAGGCTAGAGATGGACACGGGACTTTTACGGGAACCAGAAAAATCCCTTATAACTCAACAGCTAACGTTTTAAATCCCTTATAACTCAACCATTTTAACCGCTAACGTTTTTCTTAATAATACATTTCACAGACGTCACCTGCAGCTCCGATTCATGCCGCTCTGCAAGAAATAGCTCATGAATATGGAAATTAGTCGTTGTAACTGGAGATTTTCGGTACTGACAACTCTTACGAGAACTTTATTTGTGTTATTAGTAAGGTGCAGAGAATGCAAACTTCAAGTGGAATTTCTTTTTGACTTTTACACACCATTCGATGGAGAATTGACGCTGATCGCGAGCATATATGTCCCGAATTCCGGTCGAAAAATCGGGAAAAATTCGAAGGTGGCAAAAACCACAACAACGCAGGGTTTTACAAAACTGGTCGTCATTTTTTTGGGTTTTACTTTTGACGACCGTTTGACAGCTTTTTGAATTCAGCGTTCGAAACTAAATCTAAAAAGCTGTCTCACAAGATTTCAGAATGAAAAACGGACTTTGGGCAGTGTTCGAAACAGATAGGGTTCAAAAACCAAACCCGTTTTCCCGAACCGAACACCGGTTTTTCCTGTACTTTTCTGCGATCAAAAAGTCAAAATTTTGCCCTGGCTCGATCCGCTGAATGCTTCTCTTCAAAAGTATACTTGTACTTTTTTTGAGTTTTTTCTTCTTCGCTCAGAAAATTAACTTTTTCTAAGTAAGAGCCAAAAAACTCGGAATTCTGTCCGTAATTCTCAATTTTCTCGATCAACTTCTGAACAATACAAATATCATATTCATAATGCGCATTATGTGTGCCGTATTTATCAAGGTATCAATACTGCTTTTCTCCCCTTGAGCTATCGGCTCTTGTGCCACCTCACCTTATTGAGCGTTTACAAATTCAGTGTTCCACTTCAATATAGTATCACTATAATTCTTGATAACTTATACCCCAAAAAGGTAAGGGGTCCAACGTATACATATCGAGGCTACAAACATTTTGGAAGAAG